ATCTGAGGTCCTAAACATTTACATGATAATATTAATTATGGCTATATAACAATAGTTGAATTTACATATTTATTTAAAACACTTTTAATATCACTCTCACAAACTAAACAAGTAAAAATACTATGGTTGACCATGGCTCACCATTAAATACTCTACATCAGCCAAGAGTTATTCATATAACGACTTTTCAAAACAATGTGTCACCGATAACGTGATCCCATCGCAACTGTTCCGAGAGCGTTGGTCCTTCCGAATTTCATCAAAAATTTATGGAAAATTGCAACTTCTAGATTGAACCTAAAGCCTAGACAGACGGACAGGTAAGCTTAAATCGACTCTGAAAATGATTTCGAATTACTCAGTATAGCAACGATGGGTTTATGTCAAGTTCTTCAGGGTTTTACATACATCCGAACAAACTTATTATACCCTTGCAGCGCAAGCGGTGTAGGGTATAGAAAACTTTATGATTTTTTTCAAATTGTATAAATATTTAATCATGCATTTCACAGACTTCAACGTAAAATTTTTAGCTCGCTAATAATATTCCCTCTCTATCATCCTTTCGGCCACCTAGCCTTTTGGAAGCCAAAGTTGGAAGCAGTGCTATAGAAATCCGTGAATTTAGCGTTTGTATCCTGAATGCAACATTAATTCGAATAAAAGCTGGAAGCGCATCTTTTACGTTGACAAAAGATGCAAACCCTTCTATAGATACGTATTATACAAACGCGCACAAAAACGTCTCACATCTGCATAGCAATGACTGGTGATCTCATTTAAACAAGTCGCTAGTATTGAGTTTTAATGTGAAATCAATTTAGTTTCTGAGATGAATTATCTTAAATTTCAAAATAAACTCGCTTAAGAGAGAATAAACATCTCTCACGCTGCATAGAAAATTCGCGTAACCCGTGCTTGAGGCATAAACGAAAAGCTTTCTTAGCTAGAATTGCGGAATCTCATTTTACAATCAACTTTTTTAAACAGATAACTCACCAAAAAACGAAAAAAAAAAAAACTCTAGACTTCCTCATAAATTTTCAACTTTACCCTCGTACTTGTCATGGTTAAAAAAATATGAAAATACATATATAAATTATTTTTTGGTCATAATGTTTACGAAATGTGTACAAAGCCCTCCACACGAACCACGCACATGCATATAAATGTAAACATAAATAAATGCATAAATATGAAATAAACAATACGTAAATATTTATACATATATATGTATGTATATATATATATATATATACGTATGTAAAGAAAAAAAACAAAGATCAATTTTACATTCAGGTTAAGCGGAATTCTTCGACACTCCCCACCATCTGATTTATTATTAGAAATAGGAAAAATTTTGATAGTTCACGTGCTAATGTTTAGATTATATTCGGATTTAATGCGTTTCTTTGATTATCAAGATGTACTCATAATTAGATAGGAAAGTAGATAGCTCTCTCTCTCTCTCTCTCTTCATTAACTCTCGCTCTTCTCCCTCTCTATCTTTCTCTTTATTAATTCTCGTTGCGTTCTTCTGATCGTATCATTTGCATTAGCCTCTATTCAGCTTTTTAAAGCCTCGCATTTAATTATAGAATATTACAGATGACTCTTCACTAACTTTTAACAGAACCACTTTCGAAATCGAACTCCAACCCTGTTCTCTGAGAATATTCGAATTAACATACATGATGTAATAGTCTCTTGACAGAAAGACTAAAAAATGCAAGAAGAGCGTAATGAAGCAAAGAGAGAGGGAGAGTCTATACGTCTTAGAAATAATGTTCAAATTAAAGGGATGTGAAGATAAATTCGAATTCAACTAGCAAAGGCAACTATCAACTACCTTATTAACAGGCCTCTGTGAAGTAGTTAGGATGAAGATATGTTCGGATCCAAATTTGAAAACGTAAAATATTTTTGTGTACGAATTTTGAATATATATATATATATCTATGTATATAAAAGTACCTTTCAAAAAATCTAAAAAAATTCAAATTCTGCTTTTCGGAAAGGTGTTTACCAAATTCTTGTAATTTGGTGTGTTAGCATAAGCCGGGAAAATGAAAAATGGGGAAGAAGACAAATTGGCCAAACCAAAAAACTTCCACGTTATTCACCTACTACTTGCTTAATTTATTTGAAAGCTACTTTTTATATTTAGATTCATGAGGTGTTCGCAAATATATATTACGTTCACGTTTGACCGAATAGGCCAATCATACCTCAGTCTTCACTACTTAACAGATCTCTTCTCAGGTAGTTGGTAAGTGTCTTTGCTAGTTTAAGTCGATTACATCATATAAACATATTTGGTGAAGGGCAGTACACTAGTAGAATAGGATCTTTAATACGCTGTCTATACTAAAAAATTTCAGAATGATATTCGCGGCGATTCTGTGCTATTAAAAAATATAGCATTTTTGTTTGGTATATTCCTAAGGGGCGACAAGTAGATCCTACTTTTCAAAATTTAATCATTTCTTTTCTTCCCTTTCACTGCTTCTAAGAATTTTGGCAAATAGAAAATAAACGGCCTGACTTGATGAATCAATTTCGAACCTCAAAATACACACGTACGTACGTATTGATCTCCTTTTTTTGAGTGTTGCAAAATAAATGACAAATTTAGGTTACCCTCGTACTAAAATATATATAAAAAAAGAAAGACATATATTGCACATACGTTGCACATCTATGAAAAGTCATTTCAAATTATATGTGAATTGTGTTTCGCGGAAAATCTGGCGAATTTTGTGTTAAATGTTTAATGACTCTATTAATACCTTTGTATATATGTATTTACGTAAACATAACTATATGCGCAAGTAAGAGCAACCAAATGATATAAATACTCTACAGCTGCCTATGTACCGTCACAAGTGTCGCGACAATTTTATGTTTTATTTATGTATTTATTTATTTATTTATTAGTCTTTCTTTCTGCTTTTTTTTTGGCTTTCAATTTTCATCCATACTGTGGCGACAATTTTCATTTTAATTGCAAACAATTTACGAAAAATCATAAATTTTACTATGGATTCTTTTTTCTTTACTGCTGTCGTTCGTCCACCGACCATATCGGTACCCGTTCTTATATATATGTACGCTTGTATATGGTGACACAGAAAATAAATTGAAGAAAATTCTCAACAATTACTAGTGACTGTTACCTTTTGCAATAAAATCCAGTTGAAATTTATTATTATGATTTCTTTTTTTTCTTGCCCGCCCTCCCCCAGCAAGATATTAAAAATTTTCTTGCACTTTTTTTTTGCATTTCTTTTTTCGCTATTAAACTGAGTCAGCGTTGTAAATTTAATTAATTGTATGACTATTTGTTAATTTGACTTTTATATACTTTTTGCTGTTTTTTCTTCTTTTTTTTTTTTTTCTCAGAAATACCTCAAACTGATATGCATACATTGAACTCTGTATATGCTAAACGCACCTTGGACTTAAGGTGAAGGTTAGTGCAGCTGCATTGCGATAAGGCAAAGTAAAATAATCTATATCAAATATGTGAGTTTCAACTTGATGCAAAAAGTTTCCGGCAATATGTCGATGCTGTTAATAAAATATTTCAAGTAGTTATTCTAACGTCTATGCCAAGGCAAAGTGAAGAACCGCTTGAGAAGTTAATAATTTGCTGTGCATTAACCTTGAAATTACCAAATTGCTTTACGTTAAAACTGGAATTATGGAGAAAAATGCAAACAATACTTTTTAATTACACTCATTAACACATTATGACCTTGAAATGTTTCAGCATTTCATTGAAGTTTCACCTAAATAATGTCTATAAAAATATCCAAACGACACATTCCTTTTTAGTGATTGCCAATATAAGCTACTTATGCCCTGTCAGATACCCTGTCAGATGCCCTTTGATAACAATCGAAAAACCAAGCATCTTGGAAGCCGAAAAGAACAACAACAAATAAAAAGTTCATTTTATTATGGCCTAGAAATATTGCTTGCACGTGCGAGCTGGTCCTGTAGAGGCTGATAACTGCTAAGTTAAATAATTGTTTTCGGAAGAAAGTTTAAGCAAAGGTTTAAATAATCGTACGTAAAGCACCTGACATTTTACTGGGAAATGGAGCCTATATAGGCATATATAGCGATTGTTGAAGTGCATTCTGTACATTGAGCAGGCAATTGGCCACTTGGCAAAACAATTCTGTCTTTATGCGGTTTTTGCTTAAGAAATATACAGTCCGTACCTTGCGTAAAACTCTGGCTGGCTAAAGGGTCAATCTTTGGCTTAGATCAGTATCTAAACTTCTTCATATCAAGCCTTTTCTTTAGCTTCTCCAAATCGGAGATGAGCAGTCCAATCTGACAAACCTGTGAAATGTTTACTTGGACTTTATGCATCTAGTAATCTGATAGGCGTAGACTTTACAAAAAAATGTTATTTCATAACAACAGTACATGATCGAATTAAAACCGAATAATCTTCCTCATTCCTCCCTCCTTTGATAATAGGACGACGATATCACGCGGACGACGGTATTCACGTATCAGACAATTACAACGAGAGATATCTAGATCTGAAAATTTAGCTTGAACTTCTTTGTAAAACTAAACACTCACTAATCTCTGAGGTATCTGGGCTACCTCCTACCCACCTGACGAACGAATTTCACCCTCCTACTGTCAACTAAGTGCAAATTTTGGTTCACAGTACCAAATAGTCCGACCTCTTTCAATTAACACGCGTATAATAGGCGGCTAGAAGGTTAAACATGTTGCACACTACTTTTATTGAAAAATTTTTAAGCAAAATTTAAAAGTATATAATAAAATAAACAAAAGTATTCCCTCTTGCGCCTTGGATTGATTGAACAATCTTTATATCTTATTAATAGCTGGCATAACCTTTCGCATATCTTTTCCTGCCCGATAATTTTCAAAAAAAAAAATCATTTTGATGTAAAGCAAATAAAAAAAAAAAACAGAATTTATAAAAAATGCAATCGTGACCCACTTACCTGGTGAAGCCAAAGCAAGATTCAACGCCAAGGTAACAACGACGACAGCCAAAAACGATTTCATTTTTATTAAAATTTTTCTACAAAACTGATGTTTTAAATTTTATATTTCTTCCTTTTTTTTATTTTTTTATTTTTTTTTTTGAATTTTATTTCCTTTTATTTATGAATTTTTTTTTTTTAATTTCAATATTTTTTGGCACTTAAAGGAAAAAATTTTTTTTCAATCTGAATTCTTTACACACAAAAGTCGAAATGATATGCTTTCAGAATTTTTTACTTGTCTTTGCGCGTCCACAGCCTACTAGAGTTTGTGGAATTGTTGTCACTTTCAATTACAATTAAGTGCTGGTTGAGAATTTCAAAAACGACTCGATTGTGTGTATACGTGAGGTTACGTGAATGATGTTTTGAATTCTTTATGTCTATATAATTCCAAATGAATAGAATCAATAGAGAAAGAAATAATGGGTTTTTTTTTTTTTTTTTGCTCTCTGTCTCTATTCCATACATGTATACATGCCTGGGTATGAGTTATATGTTTTTCGTAATTAGCTGTGTGAGTTTCTTTCTGTTTTTTATTTTTATTCCAATACAGTTATTAAACAAATCGAAAATAAAACTTAATAATGACAAATGCATAGTAAACAACAACAAGTAGCTGCACTAACTAAATATTAGGAAATTTTGTAATTATTGCTTGTTTTTCTTTACGTCGCTTAATTGTGTAAATCGTGCCGTGACATTATAGTGAGCATACCGGCTCGCCTATGAGCCAATAGCAGGCAAGACGGGCAAAGAGATAAGTAGTAAATAATCTAAGCATCTGTCAACTACAATACCAAATCATATGTTAGACTCATTAAAGCGTTTGCAAGGTTTTGCATTAGTACCGTGAAGTACAAAATTTCATTAAAATCTTGTATGCGGACGTGCCTGGGGATAAACAGCCGTACACTTCTTAAAAAAAGGAGCATACAAAACTTTCAAATCACACAAGGATTGTCAAGAGTAGTTATACTAAATTGTTCTTGTTCGGAAACGGATTTAAATACACATAAGCAACTTCTGAAGAGATATGTTAGAAATCAGTAGATAAAATATTAAGCCGCCACGTCCAGTAGATAGTCACACTACCCAGGAAAAGAAAAAAATTTCAAGGAAAAAATTTCACTTTCCACATACTCTAGGCGATCCACAGCATTTATTAAGCAAAAAAAAAAAAAAAATTAAAAAAAATGATTTTCACTGTAGTTTACCAGCTCAGTTAAACCTAAAAGTACAAAATACTCCAAAAATGTATTCTGCCTGATAGTGATGATAGACATCCTTAGTTGAAATGAAATGAAATGAGATGAAATTAATGAAATTTGATGCTCTGCAATATGAGCCTTGTCAAGCTACTTAATATGTCTTCTCGAATAGTCTTCGAGTTCAATTAACACTAAAATAAGAAAGTATTCTTTCTAAGTGAAATGTCATCTAAGAATGTTGAAAATTGACGCTAGCATTAATCACTCTAACTTTCGCCTTTATTAGTCGATTATGTTCAGTTTTATCTCTTAATTAATTTTGTCCTCTTTTTTCACATGTTGTTTAGTTAACTTTGTTGCTTTTTGTTGCTTCAAATGTAAACAAAATACAAAATTAGATTAAATCTGACTTAAGTCGAATTTTTTTCACATACGATATTGATTGCTAAATAAAATAAAGAAATATCCATCCCTCTCATACGCATAAGATACCGTAGCCATGGCACACTTAACAAATAATTGCACAGAAAAAACAACTATGAATGTACATTCATTCACTGTGCCTTATACTGGAACTTAAGATCAAAGAAAGGTTTTTTACGCAAATATATCGACGTAGTCGAACTAAAGGTTATAAATTTGGGTCTCTTTAAGAAAAAGAAAAAGTTGCTTTTTGTTGGCTGCGGCCAAACCCATTAACTAACCAATTATCAGTCTTTTAATTTCATAAGTGGAATAAGCAGAAGTTTTACATCAACCTGGTTTCTTCTACATAAAGTTTCGAGGTCGTTCGTAAATGTGATCTCAATAAACTATTAGCAGAGAACAAGAGACAGAAAACACAAAAAAGCGCATAAAATCCTTTTGGAAGATCCTAAAGCAATATTGTATGCGATGTCGACGGCAATGTATTTACTGTTTTGCATGAACAATTACCCACGAGAAAGCTCCGTCCAAAGTGAATATTACGTTTGCTAACTTCTAACCAAAAACAACAACATGTTGGAGGTGCTTAGACGAAATTAAAAAGATTTTCTCATGTGCTATGTGACCTGGATGAAAAGTGGACACTTCATTGCACTTTAAAAACGAATCGGCAAGTCAGCCGAGTGGGGAACAACCGGCGAAAGACATCCGTAGCGAACAAAAACGCAAAAGTCGACTGGCAAGATATTTTGAGATGCGTCCGTATTTTGAAATGCGTATCGTATAATATTCACCCAGCAACTTAGAAGGAGCCAAAGGGTTAATAGTAAACACTGGTGCGCTTGAATGACGAAATTGCAAAAAAAAAGCCACTCTAATCCTATAAACTTTTTGAGCGATGTGTCACTTCCGCGAATTGAAAGCATTTCAAAAAACAAATATATATCGCGTGACGGGTGTAACAACTGTTTTAGAAATTGTGAAAGATGCTTTTTAAGAAAAGCTACTTAAGAAATGAAAACCAGCTTTAATAAATTCTTCAAAAAACAACTGCATGAAAACTTAATGCAGGAAAATTAATAATAAATTGTTTCGTTGAGATAAATTGAAACAAAGATGCCCAAAAAATTTATACATTCCTGGCTGGCTAGGAGTGAACGCATAAAAAACAAACTATAAATCCTAAAAATAAAAAATAAGTGGATATAAAAAAACAAAATATAGAGAATGACTAATGCAATCTATATAAACTATTACTGCAACCAAGAACGGAGGTAAATTATAACAAGTCCGAAAATTATATTCGATCATGACCGAATCTTTCGTACCCATCACTGTCTTAAAAATATGAAAAAAAAAGGAAAGGATATAAATTTTCATAGACGCGATTGATTTTCTCTATTTTCAGAGATTTATATGGTGTATGTGTTGTGCTTTAGGAGTAACAAAGTAAAACCACAGAAAGCAAATGTGTTCACAGTTTTTTTCGCATAGGCGCGTGCGCGTTGAAGGTGTGTCCTTTGACGGGTTGAGTCATTTTAAAATTTTTTTGGTACTTTGTAGGCGACATCTTTGAGAGGATACTTACTGCAGACACTACACAGTTGGGCAAACGGCCAAATAGACAGACGACCAGACTGACATGCTTAAGAGTATTCCGAACTTAAAACTGGTCAAGGATTTGTATACTTTATGAGGCTTTTCAAGCTTGCTTCTGCGCGTTATAAAGGTATTGAAAAACAAATTAAATTCTTACATTATAACAACGGATAGGCGAGTTCAATTTTTTCCATTTTTGCACAAATACTACGGCATCGCCCTTAGAATATACGTTCACATTTTCGTAGATTGATACACTGTAGTAACGAATAACAATGAAGGCGTGTCGTTCGATTGGTTTGATCCATTTTCAATACCAACTTGCATGCAAGAACTTCGAATCCTTCTGACCAAATGAATGTACTCCTCATCTTTCGGTGATGAGCATAACAATATTGTAGTCAAGCAAGGCTTGACAAGGCATTGCTTCGCCTAATACATTCACTTGTTAAAGGCGGTTCTTAATTTTCACCTATAATTGCAATTCCTATAGATAATGGGCTGGCTCTACACAACATACCTACGTGTTTCCAATTTCCTACGATTAACTTTTATGGCAAATTGTTGCTATGGAAAATGTCGCATGTTGCATCACAAAGTATTAAAGGATTTTGCCAAAAATCTATTCACGAGAAATCGTACACGAAATGGAGTCCAAAAAATTAGCCTATGTGTTTCAAATGTGGGTCAGTTACCATTTGAATCAAAAAATCTTCAAAGTTTTAAGCCTATAATGGTTTATTTTTTTTGAGAATTCTTAGATGTCTGGGTATCCAAGTAAAAAAAATGTTTGATGCAAATCTGCTACCGTTAACTTTTATATATAATCAATGTTATGAACCAATTTTCATCATAGGGCTTAGTTTTATGAGAAACTTTATGTCGGGTGGAACCTACATGTCTATATACTAACCAAATCTCATTTGAAATGTTGAAACGTAGAACTTTTTACCATATGAAGGATTAGTTTTCGTACCATCGGTTACATGGCAGGAGGTTTAACAAATATTACCCATGATCGAAATTTTTCATTGTAATATTTTGTACGAAGATTTGTCAACGCGAATAGTTGCCTGTGGAATGGTCGAAAAAGAGGTCCGATTCGAAACATTTTCGGTTCGGCGGTTGACCCTCATTTCATCATAATATCGCAAAAGCTGCGACCTGAAGGATGCAAAAATGTGTAGAAGCACAGGCAGACAGGCAAGAAATGATTCTGAATTGATCGGTATAGCGAAAGGTGAGTCCACCTTAAACTCTTCTACACGTTGCACATATTCGCACAAACTTAATATTTCCAAAAAACAAACTTAATACATCCAAAGTCCCAAACCTTTCAGATATCGAAAGCCAGTCATTTTAATTTGTTGAATCAGATTTTATACAACTTGTACTAAGTTCAGCAATGCGTAACACAAAAGAAAGATTTCCATTGATTTTTGCAAACTATGATAAAAAATCCGATTTTTGTGTACAATTCGTGTTGATAACACATTTCTTAGTAGTGTCTCACGTTTCATTTTTCTAATGTTATCGCTACAACTTTGTTTTTTTATGACATTTTTAAAACAAAAATACTTTGTAGAAAAATATTTTACTATTACCTTACGTGGCTTAGCTAAACCTGACTCAGACTTGCAAGTTGATAAAATAAAAAAAAAAAAAAAAATTCATTTAATTTTAATTACACAAAGTGAAACAAAGCAATTATTTGTTATTTTGGGAAATACGTAATGAACAATATATCACACTTTAACGAAGTACTTAGCAAGCGAAAAACAATTTAGATAACACTTGGAAAGAAACATCAAAAGAGGTTTGGCTTTGTCAAACTACTGATGCTAACGAGGAAAGGCGAAACCATCATAAAGAGCGTAAACAAGCTAATGTTTTGTCTTTGGGTTTATGATTAATTAAATTAAAAGACAACTCGTTGTTGAACATAAGTATTCTATGTAATACAGAATGATGGCGTTAGAGAACATAAGATTAATGTAGGGTTACTACGGGGCTCCATTTCCGTTTTCAAACCTCTGAAAATAGCATATGCGCCAAGTAACATACTAACGGTCAGCTTAATGGGAATCGAAGGATGAAAGAAATGTCCCGGTTTTTTGCAAGCCGTGCGCCGATATAAAGCAACCCGA